CACACACACACACACACACACACACAAACCTATACTTCAGTTAAGATCGATGTAAAAATTAGCATGGCAGTAGCTGAGACTGATCCCCAACATGTACTCTGAGCGATTGCACAAAATCTCTGTTTAAAACTTTGCCAAGTTAACTTTGTCTGCAAAATAGCTCATTAACCTCYGAAAAGATTTYAATGAAACACTCAGAAATTAATCRAAAACTGATTAAACTTTGGAGTCATCCAGTACAAGATGGCCACCACAGCTGATTGACGTTGGCCAACACAATAATTGCTACAAGTCAGTTTTGTGTTGAGTTAAAATTTGATGTGGTCGTAGCGAAGAGTCATCCCAAGCACAGCTCTGTTTAAAGTCCAGTTTGATTTAGATGGAAGTGATGTTTCTGCTAATGATGGGTAGATAAGCATGAATGTGATATCTAGAACTAGTGAGAGTTAATACACGAGGGAAATTAGAGGATGAGTGAGTTATAATGAGAGGGCGGGTGGCCAAGCAAAGCTGTCATTTCCATTTAAAAGATAAACATAGTCATCCAAACCCATTCCTACACAGTGTTTAATTTCACTACCTGAAAAGTAATAATTCTGAATTTCAACGTGAAATTATTCCTCCTCCGAGCAGAGTTCACTGAAGGTGTAGTTAACAGATGTCCACAGAAAATCAACTCGGGCTCGAGATCTAAAACTTGGACAGCTTTTCTCTCCAAGTCTCATTAACTGAACTCCTCTTTTTTTAATCATAATTTTTATTTAATTTCCCCTTGGGATTAATAGTGTTTTTGAACTTGAAAAGAAAAAAAAAATCCATTTATAAACGTATCCAAAACTAATGGTTGAATTTGAAAATGTGTTCACTTTAGGTTGTCCTTCAGCAAAGTGCGCTGCTGCATTTTCAAGTAGAGTGAAAATGCTTCAGAGCTTTGTTAGTGAATTTAAAATATGTCATAGTTTGGGCAATTTATTCCAAATAAAACAGAGTAATACATCTGAGGTGATGAGTCATACAAGTATTGAGTTGACTGAATCTATACATAGATTACAAAGGAAGATTTGTTTTGCGTTATAGTTGTTTTTAGTAACAAAAATCCATTTTAAATCTGTTGTTCATGTGAATTAGTTTAGGTTTGCTTTTTTCATTTCCTCTTTTGTGTTTATACCTAAGGAAATCCCAGTGTTGACCAATCACTGTGYAGTTACACAAATCTTTCCATGCATGCTTTGAAAGCGTCTTATTTAAAGCAGGAACTAAATGAACTTAAACAGTTCCATGAGCTACGTTTAACTGGAGTGCCTGCAGGGTTAACACAAAGGGAAACAAAGAGGAGCTTCTCAGAATMGTTTAAAACCCTTTTTAGACCAACTTTTGCTTCTGTCAGAAGCATAACTTGGATGATTCAGTGTCAAAATTACCATGCTTAAAATATTTAGTCTATCCTCAGCTTTCATTCAGTTTTGCTGCCCCTCTCCATTTAGAATTCTTATGCATTGTAATTAACAAGCAGCTAAAGATAATCAATAAAACATAGGTTTTAGTGTTTATTTCTTCWTTTTGTTTGCGTTTCTGTGTGAAATGAGTTAATTGGTTAGCGAGGCCCAGTCTGCTCTAGAGGCTGTGGTCTACCCCTCAACTCTGGGGAACACATTAGTCTGTCTGCTGCAGCTGGAAATTCAAAGTGAAGGAGGGGGGGGAGTGTTCCACTCACTTGTTCCTGTGCAGGGAGTGTTTGGAGTGGGGGGTGCGGGGACTGCAAGACAGAGAAGAAGAGGAAGATGTGGCCTGGAAAGTGGATCCATATGTCTAAAGGATTGTGTGAGCTAATGGACCAATTGGAGCAACTAGAGTTTAAGAGTTTGATGTGGCGAAAACTCATTAGTGATAAAAAGAGTTTGAGCTCTGGCCCATCCTAACGATATATGTGTTCACGTTTACCTGGAAGGATGTCCTTTTGATTTGAAAACCAGCTGACTGGGGAAAGATTTTTTTATGTTTGACTGACCTTGACTGTCACAGACTTGAATTTCTTGGAACAACTTCCCAACTGAGAATATTCAGGATAAGGAATTTGTCATTTCATTTMAAAATGGAAAAAAAAGTATTTTTTCCTGAAAAACCGTGCCAACGCTGAGCACAGACAAACTTTGSTGAAATTTATGGAAGAATAAATGAACTAAATTGTTAAAGTTAAAACAAGTGTAAGTAGTTAGCTTGCTAGCAGGCGTCAATTAGCAACCKCTAAGACTGCAAGTCTCTGCCGCTTGTGGTTTGAAAATCACCGTTTTAGTATGTTTGAGCCTAAAATCAAATATATTTCATAACTGTGAATGTTGCATCGCTTTAACAACATATTTATCCATCCATCGTCTTTTATGCGATTCTTCCTTTCAGGGTCACGGGGAGGGGGGTGTCAATGGTGCCCATATCCAGCATTCACTGTGTGAGGGGTGGGGTACACCCTGAACAGGTTGCAAGTTCATCACAGGGCTACATAGACAAACAACCRTTCACCCTTTCTCTCAAACCTAGGGACAATTTAAAAATTATTAATTAGCCTAATTTTCATGATTTTGGTCTGTGGGAGGAGACCAGAGTACCTGGAGGAAACCCACGCATGCACAGAGAAGGCATGCAAACTCTACCCAGAAGGATCCCTGGCCAGATTTTGAGCCAGCAACCTTCTTGCTGAGAGGCAACAGCTTTACCAACTGAGCCACCATTGCCACCCTTYAACCAAACACACCAAATGTTATGTTCTGTCACAATAAAAGATGGCATATCTTTCAAAAGAAGCAGTGTAACTATGTAAACCAAAAAAAGGACTTTTCGCAACTGTTGGATGGAGCACCAGTAAATGAGTCATTACCTTAACGTTTATACCAAAACCAGATTTGTATTTTTGCTGCATTGTGGCAGGAAAACTGGCCTCATGTTTCTAAGTCTATTCCTCTGAAACAATAGTACTTTGTGTATTGCCCATCACCTCGTATTAAAAGTCTCCAAAGCGCTCTCTCTGGGAACTTTGCCTTGTGCTGGATGGAGTCGGGCTGTTATTGGAATATGTACAGTGTGTGTGTGTGTCTGTCTGTGTTTATGTACAGAGAAGACAGAGGAGAAACRTGTCTCCATGCAGCCATGTGGTCTTGCATTTATCGTTCTGTTTATCAGCAACAGCGAGTAAATGTTTCCGCAGGAGATGTTTCATCCGCAGTCCCTTGAAGTTGTGAGGGACCAATGTGAGTTTGCAATCAGGTTTTAAATCACAATGTATGTGTGTGTGGGTGTGTGTGTGTGTGCATATTCATGCTCAAGTCACTGTAGGGACATTTACATTCTGCTGCCACTTCAAAGACACTAATAGAGGCAGGAAACGAAAATAAATCCCTTCCTCCAGCCCTCGTGACCATTTCTTTCTGTTTAATTTCTGTAACCAAAA